AATCATGTGGGTTCAAGCCAGCCGGGGCCTGGTCCTTCCCCGAAGCCCTGGCACCCAGTCTCTCTGGGAAGGAGGGGCCCCCGGGTGGGAGTGTGCAAGCCCGAGGCTCAGGAAACGGAGAGGGCCCTGGGGTGCCTGTGCGGGTCACCCGTGGGTTCCTCCTGACCTGCCTCGCTCTCCCCTGCCCGCCCCACCCCGCCGACACCTAGGGGTGTTTGCGAGCCTGATGGCGGGAAATAAGCTCACGGCGGGGCGGGGGGGGCGCTCAGTGAAGACCAGAAGCCCATGGCGGGGGCCTCCGCTCCCGCTGGGGGCTCAGTGTGGCCTCCCGCCCTCCTTCCACTTTTTCGGAGGCGAAGTGCCTGCTGGGCCTCTGACTTGGGGGACAAAGTGTGCCCGACTTGGGGGCGCCGCTGCCCGCCGGTGACGCCAGCCCTGCGTCGGGCGCAGCCCCTGCTCCGAGGCCCGGTTTGCTCTGGGGGCGAACGTGGTGTGTGGGTTTCAGCAAACGGATCCTGCTGTGTGTGCACCGTGTCCGTGTCCTGCGGGGTCGCGTCCCTGCCCTAAGGTCGCCTGTGTCCACCCCCTCGTGCTTCCGCCCTTCCCCGGCCCCCTCATCCGTTTGCGGTCTCGTGGTGGTGCCTCTTCCAGAAGCTCCCAGGGCTGGGGTCCCCGTGTGTGGCCTTCTCACCCTGGCCTCTGCCGCGTGACTCCTGCTCCTCATGGCTTCGGGGACGCCTCTGGGGGGGCCTGTGAGGCCGCCGCGCCCCGGGGAGCCCAGGTCCCCCATCTGCAGGTGTTTGACTCCGTGTCCCTGCAGGACTCCTGACGCCCCGGGGGCTGATGCAGCCGAGGGCTCTGGGGAGGGGGAGTATACGTGTCCTCGGGTCCCACTCCTGAGCCGGCGGCCGGCACCCGGCACCCGGGCCTCCCAGGATGCCCTCATGTGCCTGGGGCTCCCAGGCAGGCTGCCGGGCCACCGGCCTGGGGGCAGCAGGTCCCTAACCTGTTGAGTGGATTCCGGGCACGAACAGCTCCCACGTGTTCTGCAGCCACCGTGGGACACCCAGGAGGCTTCGGGTTTGGGGTGTTATGACAGAGGCAGCGCTGAACACCCCCAAGGCCTTCTGTGGACGCGTGCCGGATCCCTCTCAGGTGAGGGCCTGGAGCAGAGCCGCCAGGCCTCGTCCCGGGCTGGCCCTCGCCTGTCGCCGCCAGCAGCCGCTCTGAGGACAGGCCGCCCGGCACACTGGCCCCGTCCTGCAGCCACCCCACCCCCCCGTCTCCAGAACTGTCCATCCCCCACACAGAGACTCCGTCCCCATGAAGCACGGACTCCCCACCCCCCACCCCAGCCCCGCTCCCAGCCCCTCCTCTGTCCGTGTGGACGGGACTCCTCTGGGCCCTCCCGGGAGTGGGGACCTGCGGGACGGGGCCTTCTGGGTCTGGCCGCTCTCGCTGCGACTGGATCGTGTTCCCATGTGGGGACGGGCTGCACTGTGTGCCCTTCACCGGCTAGTGGCCCCTTCCCCGCGCTGTGAGCGGCTACTGTGGGCGCCACACGTGGGGATGATGCATCAGGGGGCAATTCTGTGTTTGGGTTTTTGAACTCATTTCTGATCTTATGCTCTCGGACGCAAAGAGGATAATTTTTATGAAGCTGGATCTGTAAATGTTTTACACAAAGTTCTCTGCTGGGAGGTCAGCATCTTTCGTGGACAGATTTGTTACTAAACTTGAACTCTCTCCACAGTCCGGTGTGAGTCGGGACCACCACTCACTCGCCTTCTCCCCTGGGGCCTCTGGGGGCCGAGTGTGGCCGCTGGGTGACTGGATGGCGGGGGCACCGGGCCTGGGGCGCTCCGAGCTCTTAGGAGAGCGAGGCACTTTCCCGACGAGGGAGCCCATGCTGGACGGAGGCCACCCCGAGCCGGGGTCACAGGGCTCAGGCGTGCTGAACCTCATGCAGGGCAGCTTGAAGTTTTCGTTTTAAATTCATTGGAGAGAGAGAAGAAGAGAGAGAGAACAAGCAGGGAGCAGGGGCAGAGAGAGGGGGAAGCAGGCTCCCCGCCGAGCAGAGAGCCCGATGCGGGCCTTGATCCCAGGACCCCGAGAGCATGACCTGAGCCGGAGGCAGAGGCTTCACTGACGGAGCCCCCAGGAGCCCCTCTTCGAGGTTTCCTCGCTGCAAACTGGAAGGCCCATGGAGGCTGAGGGCCACCTCGTGGGGCTGCCCGAAGCCATGTTCCATCCACGCAGCCCCCTCCTAGCAGCAAGGGGTGCACGTGTGGGGGGCAGCCCGTCAGCCCTGTGCCTGGCCCGCCCTCCCGCCCGACCCCAGCCCCCACAGGCGGTGGCACGGAGAGAGGACCAGGGAGCCTTTGTGCTGGGGATTAGTCACTCTGTATTAACGATTCCACACAATATTAAAACACTGCAAGAAAGTGGGTGTGGCGCACCTGGAATTTTTTTCCCTTTAAAAAAAAAAAATCAGAAATAAAAGCCACTGAACATCCCAAAGGAGATGGGGTAGAACCTGCTAGAGCCACGGACGGCTTCTGCGAGCTGGAACCGGTCTTTGCAACGTTTGGCAATGGTTTCCACGGACCGAGAAGGAAGCGGGCGAGGGCCCGACATATGGCTGCTTCTCTGGGGACTCCGTGGCAGGCTGGCTTTTTGTAGGTGTTCTTGGAGGACCAGCACGACCTTTGGTGGCCTCACCTTGGCCGGGAAACTGCCCCTGGTCCCTCGCCCTTGGGGCAGGCTGACGGCCTTTCCCGGCCCCCGCGCTCAGCGGGGCCGTGCAGAGCTGGGGGAGCTGCCCGGAGGCCCAGCACTCGGACGTGGACGCCAGAGTCGCAGGCAGGACGGCACCTTCCGCTGCCCGCGGTTCACATCCCCCAGGCCAGGGGTCACGCCCCCAGTCACTTAAATCTTGGCCTGGGGGTCACGTGTGGGAAGGGGTGCACATTCTAGCTCCTTCCTGGTGTGGAGGAGGGAAGGGGAGGCACCCCACGTGCCAGCCCCCTGGGGACCCCCAGACTCGGTGTGTTGGGGATGGTGCCCTTAACGTCCCCCCCATGATGTGGCTAGAGACGCGGGTCTCCCCCAGGCCTGTGGCACCAGCTCCGTCGGCTCCCGCTGACGCTGGGCACGCGATGTGTTCATGCGGGAAGTGCCCAGGGAAGGCTCGGGCGCTCGGGGTCTACACTAGGGACACGGAGACTTACTCTAGAAGGAAAACAGGAGCTAGAAGGACACCCACGGTGGGGACGGCCACCTCTCGGGGTCGAGGTCCCTGGCAGCCCCCGGGGGAGGCAGCTGGGCAGGTGTGATGGTGGGGGCTGGGGGCCCACCCATCCTCACCCTCTCTGGGGCTAGTTTACCCCCACCCCCAGACCCGGGGGCTCTGACTTGAGTTGGGGTTCACTCCAGGGTTGGGGGTGCCGCCGGCTGTGGGGCTCCCTGACTCCATTCAACCGCACCTGGGCCGCGAGCTGGGGACACGCGGTGGGGCTGAGCGGGACAAGGCCGGTAGGGAGGGGGTGGACTGAGACCAGGGCCTCCCGTCCTCACTGGGGACCTGCGGCCTGAGGACCAGCCCAGGGTGCTGGGGACGCAGGGAAAGGATGGGCTCCAGGGATTAAGGCTTTCACAGAAGGGGCCCAGACAGGCTTTGCTCTGCCAACCGCCTCCCCAGTCTGGTGTCTCGGGGCGGATCCCCCGGGCCCTGGCCTCCCCACCGTGGACAGTTTCTGCTCTGTCGTTGCTCAGCTGGGGAGGGTGAGAGGCTGGCTCCCGCCCAGTGAAAGGTGGCCAGGGCATCGGGCTCTCGAGGCTCCCCCGTCCAACGGCAGGTTTGGAGACGCTGGGCTCCCCCAAACCCCTGGTGCTCCCGGACCGGCCGGAGAGAGCTGGGAGCCGGGGAGCAAGGCTGGACCCTACAGCCTGCACCCTGGGGAGCCAGCCTGCATGGGGACGCATCTCCCCCATCCCCAAACCTTAGCGCTGTTGGGGTCTGGGCCTTGGCACTTGCAGGGGCTGGGGGGAGCAGGAGCCTTGAGGTTGGCACGAGGCCCTGGCCCCGGCCTGTAAGGGGGAGGACCCTCCTGGTGTGGGGTACGCAGGGGTGCAAGGGCGGGGCAGGTGGGGGATGGGTGTGCTCGGGGCCTTCCCTCCGCCTCCTGCTCCTGGAACCGTCCAGGTCGTCACAGGGGCCAAGCGACTAAAGAAAAGCCGCGGGAGGGCAGGCGAGCGGGTTAGGCATCTCACCCCCGGGGCCCTGCAGCTGCTTCCGGGACCAGATGCCTTCTGACCTGCGAGGCAGGGACTCCCCAGGCCACCCTCCCATCTGCAAAGTGGCCACAGCGACGCGCAAAAGCGGAAAACACAACAGAACACAACACAGCCGCCAGGAAGGGCCGAGCACGGACGGTTTGCACTGCCCACCTCGCCGCGGGCGCTCAAAACGGGCCACGACGCAGGCGGCCGCTCCCGGGAGCCGGGCAGGGGCCCGTAGACCCGCCTCCCTGAGGGCTGGGGTCCCCGCGAAGGGCTGGGGGCCGCGGTGGGGCTGTCGGGGGCCACGTGCCACACCGATGCCACGCCGGTGCCGCGGTGCAGGGGGACATGAGGCCACGCGGGGCACGCTGCACGGACAGAGCCCCCCTCCTGGCTCCTACCATCTGGGGGCGCGTTCCCCGTGACGCACAGCTGTGGGCTCTGGGCTCAGCGGAGAGGAGACGCGGTTCCCGAGCCGTGCGCTGGGCCCTCGGTGCACCCCTGACCTCAGGCGGCTCGGGGAGAAGCAGTGCAAACACAGCAGCGTCTCCTGGCGCCCGTGTTTCCACAAACGGACAATGGTGCGAGGGTGGCCACGCGCGGGGTGCCCGGGGACACTGCCAGGTCCCCCGTCTCCTTCCCCCGCCCGGCCCGGCCGCTACCCAGATGGCGGCCCAGAGCCTCCCGACGCCATCAATGCGTCACTCGGGCATTTCTGCGGCTCCCCACGGGCCAGAGCCCCCCCGCGTCTCCCTGCGGGGCCCGGACAGGACAGCGCTGCTGGGCTTGAAGCTCCAGCTAGACCCAGAGGACGCATTTTGCCACGTCCATGGTGGCGGCTGCTCGCCTCTCTTGGGGATGAGCGTTTTGGGACTGGAGATGGCTCGCTTGCCGGCACAGGGAGCGACGCCCGAGCGGAGGGAGCCGGAGGGAGGGACGCCGGAGACGAGGCTACAGGATAATACAAGGCTTCTTGTCCTTAAAGGGGTTCTCGGAGGCGGGGACTCCCACCAGCAGGGGGTCGCTCCGGGCGTGCTGCTCGCAGTAGCTCATGAGTTCCGACGAGGCTTTGGACACCTGCACGTGGGCACAAGGACCAGAGAGGACAGGTCAGATGGGCTGCCCCGCGCACGTCCACCACAGCCAAGGCAGGAACAGCCCAGTGTCCGCCCACTGGGACAGATACACCCGACCTGTCCAGCCGCACGTGGGAGCATCCCCGGCCCCAGCAGGAGGGAGGCCCCCAGGCGTTGCCCCGAGGACGGACCCCACGACGCACAGGGAGGGAACCAGACAAGGAGGCCACATGGGGTGTGAGTCCATCCGTCTGACATGTCCAGACCAGGCTCCTCCCTGGAGGGGAGGGGAAGGGGGCTTGTGGGGGCTGGGAAGGGGACTGTTGATGAGGACGGGTTCCTTTTGGGGAGATGGAATGTTCTGGAACAGGGTGAGGCAGGCGGTGGTTGCACAAACGAGTGTGTTATCATCGCTGGCAAGGGAGAGACGGAGCCCTCTTTAGGATTCAGACCAAGACTCCATTCCCACCCAAGACAGGAGGGCACAGGAGGACCCATCCCAGCATTGGAGGGACCCCAACACCAATTCCTGGGCCTTTCTTTGCTGGGCCCCTGAGCTGGCTGGGTCCAGTGACCTAGGCGAGGGAGCTGACACCTCGGGCACTTGCCTCATGGTCCCCAGAAGAGGAGGGGGCAGGTGCAGGGAGAGCCACTCAGCCCCTGGGAAAGCTGATGGGGGAAAGGGGCACTTCATCACAGCAGAGGGCACAGCCCAGCCCTGCACTCCACCTTCTAGGGTGTGCATCTGGGGCTGTGGTGGGCACCATCCCACTCCACTCTCCCCAGTGCTGGGGGCTGGGCACTGGGGTTCAGGGATCCTGGGCCCCTGGGTCTCCTCCCCATGGTGGGAACTGTCAGGGGAGCCTGCTTCCCCACGTGCCAGGAGCGGGTGTGACCGGGTAGAACAGGCAGGAGTGAGAACTCTCCTTGGGCTCTGTGGTCTGGGGCCCTGCACCCCGGAAAGCCAGGGCTGCCCAACCTCGTCCCCAGGGCTGCCCAGTCTGCAGGCTGGTCTCTAGGTCCATCCCGGGGACACTCCTACCCACACACATTGACAACTGCCACTGTCCCGAGCCCGCTGGCGCTCCCAGGGCCGCCGCCGTGGATGAGCTTGGTTTCCAGAGCTGTATTCGGAAAGCAACGCCCCAAACGACAAAGATAGCCTCCGGACCCTGGAAATAACCGATGCGGTGGCTCGGGCGTGTGGCCCCCGCTCACGCCCTGCATCAACAGGAAAGCTCTGCGCAGAGGGCCGGGCCCCCCATGGCCGCCTCGCTGCCACTTGCCAGGCCGGCTTTTCAGATGTGCCCATGTTTGCAGTTCTGGCCGCCGGTTTGGGGATGGAAAGCCTCAGGCGGGACTGCAGTGGGACGGTGGGTCCCGTCCTGCTCCCCTCCTCCCGGCGTTCAAGGGTGGCAGGACTCCTCCAGCACATCAAACGGGCCGGAATGAAGCGCGCCCTCCACCAGCAAACCGCGGCAACCGAGGCTTTCAAGCCTTTCTCTTTCTTCAGCCCGAAGGAGTGCTTTGAATGCTCAGGGCTCTGCTCCCGGGAGCTGCCTCCCCAACCCGGGGGCTGCAGGAGCCCGCTCCCCGCCCGGGGCTGACAGGCAGGTGTCAGTCTGTCTGGGGGCGGGGCTGCCTCTGCTGCTGCACCTCCTCGGCAGCACGAAGTTGGCTCCGTGGAGTGGCAGGTGCGGAGAATCGGTCTGAACAGGCCCGCGCCGCTGATGTCCGGTTTTATGCGTCCACTTGGCCAGGTCACAGGACCCGAGTGGAGATGTCACTGGGAAGGTCATTCTTATAGGAGATTAACATGTAAACGGGTTGACATAGAGTAGGGAGACGAGCCCCTCGAGGTGGGTGGGCCACGTGCCATCAGTCGAAGGCCTCCAGAGGTGACAAAGTCTGCCTCCAGGTGGCCTTGGGGACTCGAGGGGCTGCGTCAACCCTGGCCTGGATCTCCAGTCTGCCCTGCAGATTTTGGACTTGCTGGCCCCCCTGGTCTGTGAGCCAGTTCCTTAAAATACCCCTGGCTCTCTCAACACATGTCCTCCCGGCCTGTGCACTTGGATGTGATGAAAAGGCAGCGGGAGAGGCCACGGGAGAGGCCACACCTGGCCACACACTTTCCCTTTTGGAAAGACTGAGTCTGCAGAGCTGGGGCCCAGCTAGAACGAGCTGTGGTTTGGGTCTCCGGTCCCTGAAGGGTTAAGTGTCTGTGAGCAGGAACTGCTTGTCCTTTTTCTTTTTTTAGCATAAAAAGCAAACACACTTATTTCAAAAACTCCAAACAACGCAGAAGTGAAGAAAGAAGCCGGCACGGAGCCCGGGGTCCTCCCTTCTCTGGGCCACAGCTCTCGAGGGAAGGACCCCAGGGCTGGGGGTGGGCTCGGCCCTGCCTCGGGGCCCCCGCACAGGCTTTGTATCAGCTGGGTCTTTCCACTGAGGAAACGGAGGCTCAGAGAGGTTAGGGGGTGGCCCAAGGCCGCCCAGCTCGGGGCACAGCGGGAACGCAGCCCCCGCTCCGGGGCAAGGCCCGTGCAAGGGGTCTCCTCCCCCTCCACGCACCCACCCAGCTCACCTTGATGCGCTCGATGCCGGCTTCGATGCGCAGCTGCTCCACCAGCTTCCGGGCCTGGGCTACGTTGTTAGTGGCTGACATTGTCTGCCATCAGCGCCGGCCCTGCTGTCCAGAGAGCTGCGGGGGAGGGAGCAGACGGGTGTGAGCTGGCTCGTGAAGCCCCGGCCCCGTGGCCAGAGGACGCCTCCCCACCCAGAAGCCTCCACCTGAGCCCCCGTGCCCATGTCCCTGGAGTGGGGGCGGTGGGAGGCCCAGCCGAGGCGTCTCCATGGTCCCCCTGCGCTAGTGGGGTAAGTGCTCCCCAGATGCGACCACCAAGCCTGTTCACCAAACCACAGCATTGACACGGAGATGACAGAATGAGGGACTCATGGGGCACGTTCTCTGATCCCTACCCTGCTCCGTGCCCCCCAGCACCACTGACCCTGGGCAGGGTCGCGGTCTGGGAGCATCCCAGGCACATCCTCGGCCCCCACCCTTCGATGCTATGATGTCCCAGTTGTACAGCCACAGATGTGTCTGGACATGGCCCGAGTCCCCCGGGGAACTCAGAGTCATCTGGGAGAGACCCCGGCTCTGGACCATGGCGGGTCACCCGGGAGGCCCCGTGTGCTGCGGGTCCTGGGTCTGGCTCCCCTTCCTTCATCCCGAGGCTCGTTTGCCCGGAGGATGGCCCGCCCTATGAGAACCCCGCTCGGCGCGGCTGAGCGCAGGGGGAGGCCCCTGGCTCCTTTCTGTGAGGGTCCCTGCCTCCGATTTCCCTCGCCAGGCCCGGCTGTGACCGGGACCCCACAGGAGGCCGCCGGGGCGGGAGCGTGGGCTCCTGCTTCCCTCATGGGAGAGGCTTCTGGGGGTGGGAGGGGCGATTCATGTCACCCGTCGACAAGGGAGCCCACTTGGTTTTGCGGGGTTTCCCCGAGCTTTCTGATGTCCCGGAGAGGCCAGGACAAACGCCACAGCCTAGGGAGCTGAGCACAGCAGGAATCCGCTCTCCCACATTCTGGAGCTCAGAGGGCCGAGGTCGGGGGGGGGGCAGGGCTGGGTCCCCCCCCCCACGGCGAGGGTCTGAGGAGGCTCTTCCTCCAGCGGCGGGTGCGGCCACGTCACTCGACCTCTGCTTCTCACCGGGACACCCTCAGCCATGACCTCCTCCTCCTACCTACTTGCATCTGTAAAGACCCATTCTGAGGTTCTGGTGGATGTGGGTTTGGGGGGACGCTGTTCACGACGCCTTCCTTGAGGGTGGCTCACAGCCCCCACTGACAGCGGGTAAGTGACTGCGGAGAAACCCTCTTTTCGACACCGAGCAGCCCTTCCATGAATTCTCCGAGGGCCTCTGCTCAGCGATGGGGGTGCCTGCGGCTTTGACGACCAGATGGCACCCAGCGGTGCTCGCACCCCCACATCTTCAGGAAGTGGCTGTCATGTCTCAGGGGTTCAGGGCCGGTCGGGGGCCTCCCCACCTGCTCGCCCAGGGAGAAGACCAACCTTTTGCTGCACCAATGATTCCGGCTTTGCTAGTGTTTGAGGGTGACCGATTTTCCTTCCCAAGTATTTTTATGGATCTATTTTTTCATGACTTTAAAATCTGGAGGTGCCTGTTGACTCACACACAGTGGCAGGGAATGACAGATCCCTGTGCCCGGTTCTCCCACGACGACGTCTTACAAAACCACAAGGCACAGGGACGCAGGCACAGAGGACACGGGCGTCCCTCTGGCCCCTGCCCCCGCCCGGTCCCAGCGACCACCGATGGGGTTTCCTTCTCCAAACTTCTGTCATTTCAGGAATGGTGCGTAAGTGGAACCGTACGACCATAACCTTCCCGGACTGGCTTTCCCTGATGGGGCCGATCACTGTGGGGCACTCAGGAAAGGCACCCGGACTGCCATGCACGTGGCTAGCTCCCTGCAGAGTGGCAATCCCCCCACCCCGGGGCGGCCGCAGCTCACCTGCGGAAGGTCAAGGTCCCCCGCCCAGAGCGGTGGCAGCCCCGCGGTTCACCGGCAGAAGGTCAATCTGGCCCAATTCCCGTTTTGGGCCCTCGCAATGCAGCTGCCCCAAATTGCAGACTTTTGTGCAAACCCAAGGGTTTGTCTCTGAGATAAACGCCGAGGGATGGGACTGCGGGTTCAATTTTCAGAGAAGACGCCAAGCTGTCTTCCAGAGTGGCCGGGCCACCCGTGTTCACACCAGCACCGGACGAGCGGCATTAGCTTAGTTTCATAATTCAGCTGTGCACACTTTCCCCGTCGCTTGGGCGGCGAAGATGCGACTTTCCCCGCAGTCTTCATCTGGGGGCTCTGGCAGAGCGGTTCCAACGGCTGATCGTGCCCTCCAAGGACACCGGGCCGAGAGCGTCGGGATCTCTGGGGATCCCACAACCAGGGGAGCTCCTGGTACCAGGGCGGGGCAGGATCCTGCTCAGCCCCCACCATGCCCGGGCCCCCCCCCCCCCGCCCAGAGACGACACGCTCAGTGTCTCCAGTGTCCAGGCTGAGGAGGCTCCCAGAGGACCTGCACGGGTGTCTATGCAGACACAGGGCCCAAGGTCAGGAGTCTGGGGAGACACTTAGCCAGTAACGAGCAGCAGCCTGTGTCTGCCACGACGCAGCAGGCACGGTCTGCTCAAGGTCACCAGAGCCAGAGGGCCACACACAAGAAAAGGCAGCTATCAGCCTCCGTCCCTCTGTCCCTCCCTCTGTCCGTCCTTTTCTTTCCTTCCTTCCTTCCTCCCTCCCTCTCTCTGTTTCTCCTTCTTCCCACCCTTTCTCCCTCCTCCCTCCCTCCCTCCCTCCACCCTTTCTCCCTCCCTCCATCCCTTCCTCCCTCTTTCCTTCCAGTTTAATTATTTATTTAAGTCGTCTCTACACCCACTGTGGGGCTTGAACTCACGGCCCCGAGATCAAGAGTCACACGCTCTTCGACTGAGCTGGCCAGGCAACCCAGATTTCAGATTTTCAAAACATTTTCTATTTAGCAATAATAATAATAAAAAAAAGGGCCACCGATACACACAGTACCTTGGGTGGGTCTCCAGGCAGTTAGACTGAGTGAAAAAAGCCAATCCCCAAAGGTCACGTGACATGCGGTTCCATTTACAGAACAGCTCTGAGATGACAGAATTGTTGGGACGGAGGACAGATTCATGGTTCTGGGGGGCTGGGGGGTGGGCCTGGGCAGGAGGGGGCTCCTCGTGGCACTGGAAACGTGGATTCCTTGAGGGGGGCAAGAGGCTCACAGCCACATGTGTGACAACCTTGCACAGTTCCACACGCACGCACACACGCGGGACTGCAGCAACAGAGTAAGGCAGTGGACGGTATCGTGTGGACATTCTGGTTGTGATACCGGCCGTAGGTCCACAAGATGCTACCATTGCAGAAACTGAGCGAGTGATACGTGGACCGTCTCTGATTTGTTACAACCGTGTGTGAATCCAAAGTGACCTCCGCAGGAGTCTCAGGAGAAAGACCCCTCCATGCCGCCTGGCTCCCTGCCCCTTCCGGCAGACATCCAGCCCCCTTCTGGGCCAGAAAAGGCCTGAGTGTGTCTGTTCTGGGAGCACAGAGCCCACGTGTGGGTTTCCAGAAGGCTCTGATTCAGCAGAGAGCTTCAAAGCAGCCACAAAACATCCAGCTCAGGGAAAACTGCCCTTGGTTGGGCTTACAAATACCTAAATTACTCAGCGCTAAATATAGAACGCGTTGGGGTAAGAAACGGGCTGGCCCCGTGGCGTGTTTTCTTTGGAAGGCCCGGGACGCCTGCTGGGCATCCACACTCAGAAGCGTCCACCGGGATCCCAGGACCCCCGCATCCCTGAGGCCACCCCCAGCCTGGCCTCCCTCTGAAGCACGGAACCCCTCAGTGTGGCTAGTTTCTTGTTCCACACACATCCCAAAAGGCTCCCTCTGGGATGGGTTTGCACGGCCCCCGAGGACGGCTGGGGGATGTGCACGCCCACGAGTGTGTGCACGTATGTGTGTGTGCAGTGGGTGTGCATGTGTGTACGTGAGCGTGCACACACGTGCCTATGTACAGGTGTATGTGCGCATGTGCACACGCGTGTCCATGTACATATGTGTGCATGCGTGTGCACGTATGCGATGAGCACGTGTGCGCACATACGTGTGAGTGTGCACACGTGTGTCCATGTACAGACATGTGCATGTGTGTGCGTATATGCGAGTGTGGTGAGCATGTACGTGTGCGTGCGTGTGAGCGTGCACACACATGTCTGTGTACAGATGTGTGTGCATGTGCACCGCGCCCGTATATGTGTGCCCAAGTGTGCTGAAATGCTGGGACCAGACGCTGGTTGCGTCACTGCCGTGCACGCGGCAGACTCAGCCTTGTCCTGGCGGGGGTCATAGCCAGTCACTGACTCATGGCCCAGCCGTAGCCCCGACACAACAGGCGGCGGCGCTGAGTCAGCCCCAGCACATTCCTCACTCGGTGCTGGTCCACAAGCAGCACATGACGGCGCCCAACCTGGCCGGACCTGCTCGGGCCCTGGGGGACAGGAGGGAGTGGGCCTGGGGACAGGAGGGAGCGGGCTGGGCTGTCTGTCCTGGCCCTGACTCCCGGTTCTGCCCCTGCAAGGTGCCCAGGGCACAGCTCGGGGGACGCCCCACCCCTGCTGGGAAGCCATGCCGAGCCTAGGGGCTCCTGCGTGAGAATCTCTCGTGGGCATGTGTGACAGGAAGGACAGCGGAGGCCTCCCGCCCTGGGGTACGTTGGGAGAATGTGGCATCATGATCGGCGGGGCAGTCACCCCTGGAAGGAACAGGTCTGCCCTTACACACCAGGCTCCAGGGCACATAGGGTCAAACAAATCATGGGGAGGGGCAACGTGTCTCCCACGGTGGGCTGCGGACGCGGCCACATGGGGAAACAGAACGGCGTCTAACGGGGCGTCCCTGACCCCCACCCCTCCGTGCCAGGAGCACCCCCGGTCCAGACGGCTGCAGACATCCCCAGACGGCTGCAGACATCCCCAGACGTCGTCCCGTGTCCCCAGGGAGCAGAGCTGGCCTGGCATGAGAACCACTGAGCAGCTCAGACTCTATTTCACACCAAAGAGGTTCCTTATAAAGAGCCACAGAATCGGGAAGAAA